CCTTCCCTGAAGATCCCCATAGTCTCTTCTCTTTTTCTGCTTCCTTCTCTTCTTCCCATCTACCCACCTAACAGCTAACTTACCTTCATCTGCTCCCCTATCTTCAGTTTTCTCTCCTTCCAGCCTCCTGGCAGCTTCTCCCTCAGAAAACTCTCAATGAGTTGTGCAATGCCAGTTGCCGAGCCAGGCCCAGTTGTGTGGTGCCAGCTAGGTCAGGTCCAGTTGCACGGTGGAGAACATGCAAAAAACTTGCAAGGGGCACCCCACTTTCCCCTGTAGTCCCCTCCTAAGGTTGCCAGGTGACTTCCTCCTGCTGGCAAGGGGATTTGGGGGGCATTCTGGGGGTGAGCAGGGGGATGGTGCCGATACAATAACATCACTTCCAGAAGTGATGTCATCATGGCAGCAATGTCAGGGCGACACTCTACTTTTCGGGCAAAACTCTGTGTGCAAATGGCTACAAACCATAGAGTTATGCCCAAAAAGTAGAGCGTTGTCCCCAGTATTGCTGACACAATGATGTCACTTCCAGAAGTGATGTCAGCACATCAGTGACATCATGTGGGGACATCTGTCTGGGGGTGGGGTTCCCCCAGCCATCCAGCTGGCCAGCAGCAGGCCAGATCCCACAAAAGCAGGGGATCCCCTGCCCCTGCAGGGTTGTCAGACCCCCGGTCCCAGCAGGGTTTTCCCTGATTTGGGGGGCTCCTTCCTGCCGCCAGCCAACTGGCTGGTGGGGGGGAAGCCCCACCACAAAGAATGACCAACCTGGCCACCCCTACTGCAAGGTTTAAAGGGCCCTCCAGCTGGCTCTTTAAAACATGCAAGAGGGAGGAAGAGGGATGGCCACACGTGCCTGCACTCCAAGCTGCAAATTTGCAACTTGGAGTGCAGGCACACACAGCCTCCCCCCCTCCTCTTCCTAACAGCATTTAAAGGGACTTGGAGTGTGGGCATGCACAGACTCCCCTCCCCTCCCCAACAGCATTTAAAGGGACCATTTGAATGTTTTTGGCAAGAAGCGGGGGGGGGGCAGTCCCCAACATGATGACATCACTTCTGTGTGACATCATCACATTGGGGACATCCCCTCTCCCTCCAGTAATGCCTTCCAAAGTCCCCTGCCAGGGACTCTGAAGGACCTGGCAACCCCACGCCTCCACCTGGGGATTGGCAAGCCTATCCCCACACTATATCCTCTTTCCTTTCTCTTTGCAGTCCCCATATCCTCAACTTTTCCTGCTTCCTTCTCTGCTTCCCACCTACTCACCAATGTATCTTCTGTCTTCCCCCATCTTCAGCTATATTTATTATTTACTAGCCTGATACCCATGCTTTGCTACGGTATTTAAATCCGTAAATCCAGTTATAAGACTGATGATGTGAAGTTTGGAAGGTAACATTTGTTGTAGGAATTCTAATGGAGAAAATTGTAGTGTAAAGGATGAAGTGAGACATACGTACTTCCCCCCACCCCCACCCCCACCCCCACTGAAGGACCGTGGGTGCAAGCAGGCAGGTTTTACCTCAGTACTCTGAACTACACAGTTGACCAATCTGGAGGGGGGAAAGAGGCAGCAGCCTGCCAGGGACCTGGAAAACAATTGGGGGAACACATTTTGCCCCCTTTTTACCCCCTTGGGGGTTGTGTTTCTCAGAAATCTCTTCGTAGTGGGGGTTGACGTCATGGTAGGAATGCACTCGCCTTATTTTGGGTTTCTTGGTGCAGGGGTTTGGCCTGGGCATTGAATTTGGGGTGGTGGTGGTGCAGGGCATACTTAATGTTTCTCATTTATGTTACATTTAAGAAGTGGGACATAACTACATATTCAAAACAACATCCAAGCAATCAGATATTGAGCAAGTTCATATGAACCAATTTTCTAGAACCCACATTGTGAGAAGTTAAATAACCAAATACAGGAAACCACTTTTCTACAAATTTGGGGTATATTTCCATAGTGGGTGGGAGTGTGGCTAAGCTGGGACAGCAGCACTGCTAAGGTGATGCTGCTGAGGTGGACTCCCTAATGGATTAAAGTACCCTGGCCCTGCTCTTACACCTGACAAACACCCGCCTGTCCGGTGTAAGGGGGGGTGGAGATTGTGTTTAAAGGCATCAGGGAGGCTGGGCCAGCAGCAGCACTAAGGAAATCCTGCTAAACAAGCCTCCCCTATGGCTTTAAGGACTTTGCGTCCCTTCCAACCCTTGACAGGCAGTTGTCTGACAGGTGTAGGAGGGGTAGCGTGTCTGAAGGCATCAGGGAGGCTGGGCCAGCATGACTGCTAGTCTGATACTGCTTGGGCAGCCTCCCCAATGGATTTCAATGCTATGCTCCTGCTCCTGCTCCTACACCTGACAGACAACCGTTTGTCAGTTGTAGGAGGGGTGTGTGGGAGTGTGTCTAAAGCCACTGGGGAGGTTGGCCCAGCAGCATTACTAAGGCGTTTCTGCTCGGGCAGCCCCTTGATGGATTAAAGTACCCTGGCCCTGCTTCACCCACCTGTCTGGTGTTGGGGGGACTGTGTTTAAAGGTATCGGTGAGGCTGGGCCAGCAGCAGCGCTAAGGTGATCCTGCTGAGCAAGCCTCCCTAATGGCTGTAAGCATCCCACCTCCTCTCCTACAACTGACAGGCAGCTGCCTGGCATGCTGTGGCTCATGCCACCCCCACCATTGCCGACACCAAAGCCAGGTCCACTACTACTTCCACCCCTCACATGGCTCCTACCCCACTCACCATTGTCTTCACTGCCCACAAGCCACTAAGCACAGTGTGGCTACCTGTCCCCACTGTCGCATGAGGGGATAGGTTCATTGTCTGGACATGAGCAGACAATGCAAATGAGCAGGCAGTGATTTGGGGTTTTTTTTTGGGGGGGGGAACTAAATCTCCCGATGTATTTTAAAATGTTTTCAGATTTCTCTGTGAACCTGGAGGGTCCCCCAAGTTTGCAAAACTATCTGTTTTTAGTCAGTGGGGGCCTGATCCATAGATTTAAGTGTCCGCAGACTAGACCATACTTCACTGTTAGAATATAATATAACAATCTGTGTATCAGGTTGTCTGAATTCCCAGTTTTTGTGTTTCAAAAAAGTAAGTCTCTAATCTGTTGCAGAGATCTAAAGGGAAAGGAATGTACTCTCTATGAAAAGGGCTAAAAGTTTACAGACTGAGCCCAGGCATGCCTATGACAAAAGGACTATACCATCACTGAGTGCTAAAGTACACCATGCAGGGGGCTTTAAGGCAAACACTGGTGCAAACTGATGGTGTCATTTTATTGACAACCTTTCTGTCCAGTAATAATACTGTCATCTTGTCTTTTCTGAAATGCAAGCAGAACAAGGCCACTCCATCAAGTAGTGTTAATAAACACAGCAGCCAACAAAACTGCTTTAACTTGGATACAAGATGCAGCAATCCAAAGTCTAAGACCAAGGGGATAATTAATAAAAGGTGATTGTGCAATCAGCATTTGAACAACTTGCTGATGGGAAATCACAGTGAAGATGCACGTAGCAGCAAATGTCACTGCTTGAGCTCAAGTCTCAATGATCTTTGAAGGGAACGAAACATCTAAAGTTAGATTTCATTACCTGACTGCTGATAGTAAGGATCCTCTCTCCCTCATTCTTCCCCCCCCATTCCATAAGCCTGAGGCCCATGCCATAAGTACTTACATTGCTGTTCTTCCCTGATAGGATACACTCCTCTATTCTTTGCTGGGATGCAGGCCAGTGGATCTGCCAAACAAAACAACAACTTCATCCACATGGCTGTAATTTCCAGGAGACTCAAAGGCCAACTGGGAAGGTTCTTCACCATGCTCAGAGTTGGTGCCAACTGATTCATAAGTACAAGGGGACAGCCCTTCTCAGTCTCAATCCAGCCAGTCCCCATGGAGGGTAAACCTGAAGCTGAAGATCACTAAGGACCTTTCAACAATCATTTGAAGAAGAAGAAGAGTTGGTTTTACCCCCCGCCCTTCACTACTCAAAAGAGTCTTGGAGCAACTTACAATCACCTTCCCTTTCTCTCCCCACAACAGGCACCCTGTAAGGTAGGTGGGAATGAGAGAGTTCTGAGAGAACTGTGACTGAACCAAGGTCACCCAGCTGGCTGCATGGGGGTGGAGTGGGGGAATCAAACCCAGTTCTCCAGATTAGAGTCTGCTGCTCTTAACCACCATACCACCATCCATTTGTAGAGCAGCAAATGCTCAGTTCTTCTTTATTAGTTCCAGGAGTTCTAGGTGTGTTTCCTAAGTGTGGAATTTGTGTTGCCAACCTTTAGGTGGGGCCCAGAGTTCTCCCAGAATTACAACTGATCTCCAGACTACAGAGACTTCAGTTCCACTGGAGAAAATAGCAGCTTTGGAGGGTGGACATTATGGCATAATGTCCCTGCTGAGCTCCCTCCCCTCCCCAAACTCTGCCCTCTCCAAGCACTGCTCCCAGATCTCCAGAAATTTCCCAATCTGGAGTTGGCAACCCTATAAACTTCTGTTGTGGGGGATATCACATTCAATAGCAGTTAGCTCAAGCTTGTCGGGAAAATACAACTCCTCTCCTTGTTTGTGCCAAAATTGTATCAGTTTTGTTAGTGGCTATGCTGGTGTCTCGGATGTATCATACTGTGCCCCCGCAACGACATTAATGATAGTGACACAGCTTCCTCCTGTTCCATAGTTGTCTATGAGACTATTTTTAAAAGATACAGCAGAAAAGACCCTATTTTTATTTTATTGTATTTAAAAAATGTAGTAGGGCTCAAATTCAGCAGTGCTCATGTAGCCCTATTTTAAAGAAATGCAAGCATACGCATGTCCATTCATTTTATCAACCTTCTGCTTTAAAAAAGAAAAGAAAAAGGATTTCAAGGGTTTATGCTACCCCTCTCCAGAACTGGAATGCAAATCTCCAGTTTAAAAAAAGTTATGAAAAAGCACAAACCTTAAAAACGTTAATTGTGTGAGAATACAAAAAAAAAGAAAGAAAGTAAAATAACATTGGTTTTGACCCCGCTTCTGATCTATGTGCTCCACAATCCATCCACTTCAAACTCAACACATAATCACTCATGCATTCTGTTCCCTGCTAAATTGAACTTCTCTGCCTGATCCAAATGCATCCCATGGGTTCCCTGCCTTTTCCATGCTCTTGGCACAAAAAAGAAATGCCCTTACAATTAGAGGCTCCCGATTGATGTCGTGAAGGTCCAGAGACAGGATGTAGT